TTTACTATTTTTCAGCTTCAATAACATTTTCTTTGTGTGTTGATTAATGTCAATCGCACACTTAGTTAGGTTCTATAATTCACGAAAACTTTTTGTTTACTTCGATGGTTTTGCTGAGGTCACCCTGCTGCTACACGCATCTCTCGCGAAAAATTGTCCGTGAGATGAGGAGTACCTGACCATCGAAAGAATCTTTCTGCTGGAGTTGATCTTTGAGGCCGACTTTTTTTGGAGTAAAGGTCCTACTAGATTAATGATTTCAAACCATTAAAATCACGAGCTTTGAAACCAAAAGCATCGGTCTAGTAAATACTCAGAAGGGTAGTGGGACGCAGTCGTATACGATTAAATTGTTTTAAGAAACGAAAAAAAACCTGCCAAATGTTTTTTTTTCCTAAGGCTCCTCGCCAAAGGACTTCCTATTCACTCATAACTCTGCACACTTTGTGTCTATCAAATTCACAATTTCCGAGAAGGCCGGTTGGCATGCAGATTTATGCATCATCTTCCGATTCCTTTGTGGCCGAGCCGCGAATCATTCAAATCCGATCCGATTCGAGGGTGACAATTCTCGGCGGCGGATTGAACCCGTTCGAATTCGCGTTCGCACTGGAGAATGCGTGTGAATCGCATTGAATCGCTCAATGACATATCGGTAAATCAGTGCCACGGGAAGGAGGAGAAGGCGGCGGAGGCGGGGCACCGCATTCCGTGGCACATAAAGCAAAAGTTCGACCCGGCACAGACCCATCCGCGGAGGAGAACCCAGTCCGCTGCTGACAGATGGACAAGAAGGAAAACAAAGCAAAAACAGCCTCGCAGGAACACAAAAATATCGCAATGATCATAAATATTATTCCGTTTTGATGTCCCCTGGCAGCCCACAAAACTTCTCTGTGTAAGTGGCAATACAGTGAAGCTTCCCTTTGCAATAGTTTAACATAAAATTCTTCTTTTGAAATAGGCATTGTGGGAATTTGTTTTTGATTGGCAACTTATTATTTATAGTTATTTGTTGAGAAATTTTTCTTTACTTTGGTATTTGTTCAGGCTTCCTTCAATGCAATTATAATTCTTAACCAGTTCTAGGCCGCTATACACAAGCCAAAGACAAAATTTAAACTTATATAAGCAGTTAGTTTCACGAACAATTTTGCGCTGCAATTATTTCTTTAATAAGTTACGAGGATGGGTATATGTCCTTTACTGTCCTTTTAATAAAAACTGCAATTATCAAGTAAAAGTTTTTAATTTTGAACGTACGAGATTGGTAAAGTGATTTAATAAAACTAAATTGTAGGAACTGATTGGTGTTGTTTTTACAAAGGCTCACCTGTATTTCTGTGCGATGATGTGGGGACAGGGACATCATCTGCACTCACCAACGGGCGTCAGGAATGGCCAAAAAAGGGCTTTCCATTTTTCACACAGATGCAGATGCCGATGCAGATCCCCAGTGCGAAGTGGCCAAGAAGTCCGGTCGGCGGCAAAAAAGGTGTCGAAGAAATTGTTCGACAACCGCGCCGCAGAAAGAGTAAAGGCCCCAGTCAAAGTCGAACTGGAAGTCGAAGTCGGAGACCTTCTGCTGCATAAATGAGGCAGCCAGAGACACGCTGTCTGGCAATGCGATTCTGTCTCGAAGAAGCCTCAAGACTCAGCCTCAGTCGCCTTCGGATTCGGATTCTCATTCTGGATCCAAGTCGGGTCCCAGAAAAAAGCCGCTTGTCACTGGGGAGCTGAGGAATCCACGCAGGCGTCGCATTGTCTTCACTTGCCATTATTAGCTTGGATGTTTGTTAAAGCAGCCGCGACGATTTGAATTTCAGCGCTTTCTGGGGACAGCTGGGGAAATATTAAAATAGTTCACTCAGCGATCGGGAATCTCTGGGAGATGCAATCGACTCCGGGATCTCTACCAGAAAGCAGCAACCACAGATGTCTGGGGCCTGCAATTTGAGCATTCTATGCAAAATATGATAGAAATCTGAGGAAGCTCTTCGACTGCTTGTTGGCATTCAGCGCGAAGAGATTCAAAATCATATGCATTTCTTGTTCCTCGACGGTTTATCCATATATGTATATCCGTATACTGTGGGACAACCTTGCACCCTTCCACAACAATTTGTTGATCTATTTAAGGTTGGAGAATAATTTGTGTTGGAATAAATTCAAACTAAAACGATATTATATCGCCCATGTTTTAAGTTTAATTAAGTGTTATGTATAATATTAACTTTCTATTTTTAGATGTTTTTGTGAGTTTAAAAAAAGATCCTTTTTACCAGAGAAGCATGGCTGGTCATATAATTTAATTTGGATGCTATATTCATTCAAATATTGTCTTCTGATTATTAAGAGCTTATAGCTTATAGCTTAAAAACCTAAACACTACTAAAAGTGGTGAAATACATTTTTTATAAATTTTAATCCACTGTGCCTACCTGTTTGCTTCAACCACGGATCGTCGATCTAGTCGATCGGTCTGCGAAATATGATTGCTGTTTGGCATGGACGAACAAAACTGAAAACTCCAGTTACCATGTGGCTATTGGCAGTGGTACAAGCGACAAGGAATGTCAACACGGATCCAACTCTCAATACACAGGAAAAAAATAAAATTAAAAAAAAAAATAAGGTTAAGTTTTCATAATTGGTATCAAAGATTGGACTACTAGAAAAAGTAAAGGATATATATTCAAAAAGGTAAAAGGAAAAATGTTTTGTTGCACCATGCTGAATCGATAAATGTGCAGGAATAGTATAATATTAAACCAGAGAAAATATATTTTATGTTAGGTTTAACCAGAAAAATTAAACTTTTTTAGGTTTAACAAATGTTTAATAAAAATACTTAGGAAAATAATCAATATACATATGTAGTTTCCAAATTGAAACTAACTAACTGATTAACTCAAATGAATGGATATACGCATAAGACAGAAACATTTGTATTGATTTTTGATTTATGCAAAAATATATAAGTATTTAATATATATATATTTTATATATATAAAAATATTATTTATTTTGAAGCTTACTGCATTTGTTTGTGAATAACGTTAAACACTTTCTTTAAGTGTGCAACTGGTCTTCTGCCTCCGCTGATCTTGTTACCGATTTCGATTTTGATGGCGATTTTGAGTGGCCGAAGTCGATTCGCCTGAACTTTGGCGGAGGAGCGCGATGGGATGGGATGGGATCGGGGGATACATATATAGGTACACATAAATCCCCCGGACGGTCAGCATCGGAGGCAGCATCAGAATGTGTCGAGCCATTGTCACTGCATGCCGCGGATCCACGATACTTTATTCATTTATTCCAATAATAATAATGCAATGCAAACATTGATTGTCATCGATTGTCAGCCGAAGGCTGCGCACGCGCATTCGCCTCGACCGGATTCGGATTCGTATTCGATTCGATTCGATTCGAGTCGATTCAGCTGGATTCTGGAGGGGGAGACTTATGCCCTTTTAGGGCAGTTTTGATAGGTGACAGATTTTGTGCGCTCGCCGCGCGATTTGTGGGCAAAATTTATGAGTTGTTGTCATTCGGAATGTCGCTGTCCTTGTTATTGTTCCGTCGTCGCCGCCGCCGAGATTTCCTGGCCATATTTACATTTAATTTCGGTTTATTATTTATGCCCCTCTGATTCCCCTTCCTGTTGCCCATTCGGATAAGCCTGTTTTACATAAAAAATTGCTTCAGCTTTTATTTCATGGCAATGGACGCATTCTGATTGGAGCTGGTGAGCCGGGAGCGACGTGTAATTGCTTTTTGCGTTGCTGAATTTAAATGAAAATGAATTCAATATTGCATTTTCACGCCGAAATGCTTCCAAAAACAGATTTTTCATTTACACTTTCTGAATGGCGCAATCCGGATTACGTGTCCCACGGGCCCAAAGCATTGATTCTGCTCCTGCGCACTGAAAGGGGGAATCCCCTCTTCCCCCTCCCCTCTTCATCCACCCCCTTTCGTCCAGTGGCTCAAAGGACCCGCCAGCCTCCCGCTTCCGTCTTCCGCCCGACCGCCCGCCACGCCCCCAAAAAATGACGGACAGTGGCATTGCCGTGCTGCAAAGGCTCCTCCTATTCTGAATGCCCTTTGTGGGACAAAGGACTCGCTTTCGCACACTTTTTCATTGCCTTTCCTGGGGAAATTAATCAACAACGTGCGAGAAATTAAAGGCAAATCAATTTGGACGCTGCCAAGAATCCGGAGGGCTCAGCTTGGCTTTCATTTCGTTTTCCAGCTCCGGTCAATCGGAGTAATATATATAGTATATGTGCTTAAAGGAATTTTTAATTGAACGAGAAAATAATATAAAGGGTTTCCTTTTTTATTAATATCCGTAATTCTACTTAAAATGATGAACAAATAAAAATATAACTCTGGCATAAAGAAATATATTATTTATGTTAAATGAAAAGAGAGAAGTAATGAAGAAATATCTTACAAATATTTTATTAGCTGAGCAAAGTAGTTCAACTTTACAATGAAAAGTTTTCACTTTACATTTGTGCAATAAATGCACATAAACTATATTAAGATGCAAAATTATTCTGCTTGTACATGCATATATAATAGTAATAGTTCGGGTGCGGACTTCTGAACCATCGGCATATATGTACATATATCACCTAATATCGGGGGCTTAAGCTCGAATCCGGTTGGGACTCCTTCGGTTTTGTGCGACATTATGCATACAGTGGCTGCGGAGTGTTAAATTTATTTATTGCCATCGAAATTATGGGGTTTGTACCCTCAATGACGGACGATCTACATTTTGATGGCTGTCGCCAGTTTTTGTATGTCCGATTTGATTTCATCGCTGACCATTTTGTCAGATACGGAATGGTTTTAATGTACTCCACCGCTCGGATTCAGCCAGTTATACGGCAGCAGACTCGCTTCGATTCGTTTTTGTCATTTTAATGTGCATTGAATTTTAATTCCCAAAAGCAAAACCAAAATCAAAATCAAACCAAAACACTTTCAAAAGGAGACGGAGCCAGCGGGCAACACGATCTAGATATACGATTACGGGGCACCGAAAGTTTGTCAAAATTTTAAAGAGCCCGACCTCTCTGGCTGCCTCTCAAAATTTATGCCAATTTGTGACTCCGTCGCTGGCTTATAAAAACAAAATACCTCGCGTTGTTTTATCGCCGTTCGCTTTTTGGCTTCGAATTCGGAAAAATGATCTGATTTATATTTGACACAATGGTCTGTTACAAATATCGCACGTCCGAGGGAAACAGGTAGGTACCCTCCGTATATGCCTGTACATAACTCAGCTGCTCGCTCTGATACATAAAACATAAGCTTGAGTTGCGGGTGGAAAGGGATTTGGGGATAATGGGGGGTGTAAAGTGCGGACTGGGGCCGTAAATCCCGGCCAGACGACATAAGGCGGCCATTATGATGCGCAATAACTCGAATCGCGGAATAACAGCCAGCCGAAAAAAAAGCAAAAAAAGTAAAACAAAAGCCTCGCTCATACGACACTTGAGGCCCAATTATATCGCAATGAGTGCTCGTAAAATATTGGGGTGTTGACAAATTATGGCAACGCCTTTGCGAAATCACGACCTGCACGTTAATCAGCTTTTGGGGCTGTCCACAATCCACGACTTGGAGTGGAGCTTCGATCCGTGGATCTGATTCCGTTTCTGGTTCGATTTATCACTCGAGCGGGCGAGCAAAAATTGAATAATTTCGGAAGATTGGCACGACGATAAGCTGCCGCGGATTCCATTTCGGAATCTTAAAATAGAGCTTTATCTATTTTGTCGGGCTGCGAAAGAATTGTGTCAGAAATGGTGGGAAAAAATTTGGAGTTCTATGGGGGTATACAATCTGGGGAGCAGAAATTGTTATTAAATAAATAAGAACTCAATAAATATTATTCGCATTATGATCCCAATTTTAAGACACTCATGATTTACAAATTGTAATGATGAACTAAGCTTAAAAGTATTAATTACCTTAAAATCTTTCTTTATGTTTATTGTATTATAGGTATGATAACGAAAAGGTTTGAAATTGTAAGAAACGCAATAATGTTCCGATCAAAGACAAAATGTGAAGCTTTTTAACATTATTCGTTTAAAATGATTTACAAGTATCTTAAAGACTTTTAAAGACTAACATATGCTACTTTTAAGTTTGGTAATGAAACTCTTATTATTAATTTGGTTTTAGTTTTTGCATTTTAAACAATAAGTTGTTGATAAATACTGACACTAATACAGCAAACAAGAAGCCAAACAAGAGCGGGTTCGAAAGAAAAGCAATTAGTTTTCCCACTCAAGGCAACCCCTTTTGAGAAACACCTTTCCGGAAAATAGAGACACTCCGCACAATGGGCACTGTATAACGACATTAGGCTTATCTTTCCCCCCGGGGGCATGTGCAACATATTCCGTTTCCATTCTCTCCTGACTTGCGGCCCAGCAGGAGGGATCCATGTCGTGCTCCTCGAAAATGTCGCGCAGGTTCGTTGCGCTTCTAATTAATGTGCGCACCTTAAAAGGTGTTAAAATGACAAACAAACCATAAAACTCTGATAGCCGCGTTTTTACATTAAAAAAAATGCCCGAGAACGAAAGGCGAAACAGCAGGCTCTGCGATCCGAAAACGAATGACACAAATGCGCGGCTCAACCCCTGGGATATTTTATATGAAATACGACCTGTGGAAGGGGCATCGAAATACTTGCAACTTCGATCTCACCCACGAGCAATGCGGAACAGGTGCTTGACATCGCAGGATCGCAGGATCTGGGGATTCCAGGATCCCAAGGATCCAGGGGCTGCGCAATGTGCGTTGATGTGGGCTTATCGAGTTGTCATTGTCCTGGAACCAGGACCCTTCTCGCCAATTAATTCCACAGGATAACACCGCCACCGCCGAGAAATGCGCAAACATGAGCTTAATTAATTTGAGCCTGCAGCGCAACCACTTCTCCGAATGTCCTGCGATCCGGTGCGTTGTCCTGTTCCTGGTTGCCATTTCCGCTCGCCAAAATAGAAGCTGCAGGCCCGATCCTTATCGATGCGAGCATTTGGCATTTTGGCCGTTCTCGCGCTTGTTCAAAATTTCTGGGGGAGATTGGGGGCGAGGAGGAGGGCTATACAAGGCTACCGGCGTTTAAGCCGTTTAGTAACAGCTGATTAATGCCCGCCAGGAACCAGAGAGCCAAACTTAAACCGACCAAGCCAAGCAGGTGCTTTTCCAAGCCCATGTCTTCAGCGGAATTGCAGCCCACGCCAAGTACATTGAAGAAAATTGCTTTAAGGTGAATGTATTTTTGAAACCTTTCAAAATAAGAAGTGTCATTTAGAAAGTATTCTAAATGAAATTAGTTTAGCTTAATATTTAATAGGAAGAATACTAGAGTATCTAAAAGAGTAATGTAAAGTATTGAAGTATATTTTATATACTAACTAAACAAAAAAGGAACCTTGATTTCATGTCATTAGAAAAATTAGGTTGATTTGGAGACACTAAGGACACTAAGGTTTTAAATGCACATTTTATTTTCATCTAGTGCATTCCACTTTCTTGTTACTTTCCAGTATATTATGTTAAACATTTTTTTATTGAAGAAAAACTACCTTTGGTGGTCACTTTATGCTGGAAGTGCATCTCCTGTATATGGCTATAAAATGCGGCTCATATTTAAGAGGCGTTCTAGGCTGAGGCAGCCCACTCCTAGCCGAATACTATCGCCATCTGTGCATTCATAAATCAAGTGCCTAATTAATGGACCCCGATAAAGTGCGCCAGAATTAGAACTCGCTCGTGTTTATCAATTATATTTTCCCCACTTAATTTGCCCGCCTTTCATGGCCCGGCGAGTAATCTGCATGAGTTATTCCCGCAAATATCTGCGCATCGTCCGAAGTCTTGGCCATTGTGGTTAAATGGGAGGCGGAGTGTGTGGTGTTGGCCATATCGCTGCCTTGGTGAAATTCCGCAGTCAATCACCGATTAGGGCGCCACATTCAAATGAGAAATATTCGTTGGTTGCATCGTTGATAAAGTCCACTTGAGTCTTTGTGTGTTAAGAGAATTAAATGAAAAATTATTAGAATTCCTTCTACGACTCAAACTGTTTAAGAAACTAAAAAAAATTAGCTTAATTAGCATTGCTTATGCTCATTAAAAAGCATAAGTGTCGACACATTGAAAGATGCATGCTAATTTACATTTTCTTCCTCAATATTCCAAGGGACATTCTGAAATTCTAATTCGAGTTAATTAAACACGGTCCCCGAAAAACTCGACGACAATCAGATACAAGGCACGAATGAAACGGAGTTGGAAGTGTCCAAGGAGAAACTCTGGACTGGTTCCTCCTATCGCAGCCATCGATTTTGAGTATGTCGAGTGTCCTTTTCTGCCTCCTCATCTCTTTTGAAACAAAAACACACAACGAATTAAGGTTAATGTGTCAGAACAACAAGGAATTAAAAATACCCTATTTCTTTGGAAAAACATTAAATCCAATTTAAAAAAATTCCTTGAAATATTAATACTTTTATTTATAAGTACTTTTGTTTATTTTAAGGAACCCACGCTAAAGGGTATTTAAACACAATCGTTTTGAATACCCGAAACCAAACTCAATATTTATTAGCCGAAAACGAAATTTTAATGAACCGCAAATAAAATCGATATGGAAGCCGAAGGCACGAATGAAATAATGAAGTGCGGAGGTCCGATCCCCGGCAGAAATTATCAAAACAAAGTTCGTGCCTGGCCAGGAATCAGGAATCTTGGCCCTGCTCTCTGAAGTTCCTTGTCTGATCCCAAAACTGATCTGCTCGATTCCCCTTCCCGTTCCCGTTTTGCCTCCATTCGAGATCGAGTTTCGCTGGGGCTTGTGATTTTCTTATTTATTGATTTTCTACAATAAATTTCGCATGTTTGCATCCAATTTAAATAAAATTCGACAATTCTAAATCACCTCGTTTTGACGTGGGGCTACTGTATCTGGATCTCGGGGTCTGTTTACCTGTTTGTTGTTCTGGCTTGCGTGTGCTGGCTTGGAAGTCCGAAGTTTGGAAGGCCGAGAGGATGACTGCGTTTCTGTTTCTGTCTCTGTTGGCTCTGTTGGCGGAAATGCAAAACAAGGCCAGAGCGGCAGATTTATTGACATCTTCGTTGGCTCTTTTCCACTGCTTTGCATATGAGATGCGAAGACGGACGGGGCAGTTGCAGATTTCCCCTACGTACCCATAAATATTGCGACGATCTGAATTATCGTCACGCTCTCGCTACCGATCCGCTGACATTTGCCGCCGATCCAACCAGTTTCAGTGGCAGTGAGTCACCTGGCCGGGATCCCATCCATCCACCTGATTTTCGATTTCTAAATCACGTCGTAATCACCGCCGCATCGCCGCTCGAACTAGAAATTATGAATCGCCAATGACAACGGGCGGTGATTTCAAATTATTGCGTGCGAATTCGCTTGTCGACTTGGATTTTGAGCTGGTTCGAATCCAGATACATTTTCGAGCCAAGAAAGCGTCGTGGGAAGCCGTTTATTCAAATCAAGCCGCATTATTCGCTATGCATAACTCTTTTGTCGCGGTCGAATCGCCTTTGTCTCTCCGCGCCATTATTAATTAAATGTAGTTATTTGTATGTTAAAATCAATATATGAATTTTAAGTTTTTGCCATCTCAGCACTCATGATTCCCACGTCATGTTAGCCAAATTTATCGCTTTCAATTAGACAAAAGCCATTCGGGGGAGATGTTTATGCGGGGCTTTGAGTTTGCCATTTCCATGCGAATTTGTCGCCTGCTGATTTGATGGGTTCATTCCCGCCACCCGATATATTTCACTCTTTAGTGGGTTAATCTAAAGCGGTGATAAGTAACTGATCAGGAAATTCTTTTGGCTATCCATAAATCTGTGACTAAGATTTTCACAACGAATGAGTCATGAACGAAATAATTCGACCATTAATATAAAAGTACTTACATATATACATACAATGAAATTCAATGTAACTTTTCAAATCCTATTTAATAAATCTAAAAAGTTTAAAAGGTGTTCGTTAATATTGCCAAAATTCGTTTAGTTATTATACCCTTGCAGAGCAAAGGGTATTATAATTTCAGTCAGAAGTTTGCAACGTAGTGAAGGAGACACCTCAGACCCCATAAAGTATATATATTCTTGATCAGCATCACGATCAGAATCCAAATATGTATGTACGTCTGTCCGTCTGTCCGTCTGTCCGTCTGTCTGTCTGTCCGTCTGTCCGTCTGTCCGTCTGTCCGTCTGTCCGTCTGTCCGTCTGTCCGTCTGTCCTCCTGTCGGTTTCTATGTAAACTAGTCTCTCAGTTTTAAAGCTATCTGGCTGAAACTTTCCCAAAAATTGTGTAGTTGTTGCACGCAGTATATAAGTCGGAACGGGCCGGATCGGCCGACTATATAGGATAGCTCCCATACGAGAGAATGAAATTAAAAATTCTAGCTCCGTTGTTTTTGATCAGATCGACTTGATTCCTTCCAGATGGCGTTTTCTAACTGCTATTGAATTTCGGATTAAATTTTATCAAAATCGGATAACTCCATCATATAGCTGCCATAGGAGAGATAAAAAAATATATATATATAAAATAGAAAAAAAATTATAATGTCGTTGTTTTTAATGCCACGAGCATGATTTTTGGAACATCAAGTTTTTTAAATACTCTTAAATCGAGAAAAATTTCATAAAAATCGGAGTACTATATCATATAGCTGCCATAGGAAAGATCGAAAAATCTGTATAGAAATAACGGAAATAAAATTATTACCTCGTGGTTTTTCATCAGACAATCATGATTTTTGGAATATAGAGTTTTCCAATGAGTCTTGAGTTACAAATTAAATTTCATCAAAATCGGACGACTATATCATATAGCTGTCATATGAACAATATGGAAATCGTCATAGATTCGATGCTGTTTAGCCTTTTTGTATTTTCTTAGACATATTTAATGACTGCAAGGGTATATACGCTTCGGCTTGCCGAAGCTAGCTTCCTTTCTTGTTTTTCAACTACATTTTTTTATGAAATTATTTGTATACCTATATGAATATCTTATTATGATAATATCCAATTTATATTTTAAAAAAGGTTTTAAACGAACACAAAATTCATTTAGTTATTATCAACTACATTTTTTTATGAAATTATTTGTATACCTATATGAATATCTTATTATTATAATATCCAATTTATATTTTAAAAAAGGCTTTAAGCGAACACAAAATAACCAATTTAGCTTTACAATTTTTTACACGCATAAGAAGTTTATATGCACTCAGTTAAATCCATTTTGTTTTGTAAGGACCTTAAAGCTTTTGGAAGGTTCGTATAATGTTTTTTATCCATTCTTAACAAACAACACTTTTTCGTTGAAATTAAAATAGTTTGACTCGATTGGTTTAACAAATATCTTAACGCGGAGAGAACAGACTGTTTTAATTAGTGTTCGGTTTGACCAACTCCATTGAGGAGGGCGGTTCCTGTTTCTGGCCAGGTTCCCTTGAGTGATTTCATTAATTAAAATCGCTGTTAATGCGAATAACGGATTATGACATCGCCATGAGTGTTTGCGGGCGTATCAATCTGTTTGCGTTTCGCCCTCTCGCTCACTCCTTCGCAGCCGCCTCCCTTTGGCAGCTGGCTCTTTATTATGGCATATTATGCGGTCGGCCGTTGTATTAAAATTGTTAATTGGTTTTGTTTTTAATCTGTCAATCAATTAAAAAAACAACTGCGATTTAATTAATTAAATCAACAAAGACCGCAATAATGCAGCGCCAGCAGTGGCAACCAATATTCATCTCAATGAGTGATAATAAATAATATTACACATTGACAGTTCGGTTCATGGCTGTAAACCTTTTTTAGGCGGTAAAATGTAACTTAGTTTCTTTTTACAAAATTTATTTTAAATTGACTAAATTCCTATATTTATTTCAAGAAATCTAAGAATACAGTTGTGAGACATTGAAATACTAGGAAGAATTTTATTTAATTACTATATTTAAATGTTTACTATATTTTATTTATATTTATTTAATTTTATATTTATATAAGACATTTTTTCACGCTATTTCATTTTTAAAAATTGAATTTTATTTTACGCTAATGATTTTTTTTTGGTCTGCATTTACGATAGGATTAATACTGTAAAGTTACTTTTAAAAAATTTGATTTAAGGTGAGGAGTTTTTAGTAATGTAATTTTGAAGGTTTAAACTGAATAATAAATATTTAATTTGTTTAATATATTCAACTATTAATAAGGATATTGTCGTTGAGTGCGAATGCGGAAAGGTGTGTTCGGCTGACGTCAGTGGTGGGCGTGACCCTCCCGATCCAACAGCCCCCTTTAAGTGGCCATGGAAATCCACTCGAAGTGGAACTGCAGAAAGAGACGGGACGAGTGTGGGAGTGGGCTAACGGGCATAAACTCGGCCCAAAACCCATTCAACGGAGGTGGAAAGAGCCAGCGCCATTTGAAATTCGAAATTCGTATGCAAATTTTCATACATTTATTTTCCACACTTTGGCCAAACAGCGCCGCCAGCTAAAAATGATAAAGCGACTTCATTTTTTTCCCGTTGCTGTTGTTGTTCGTGCCTCGATTCGTTTTCGTGCACTCTTTTCCAAGCCCCTTTCCTGCCTCCTCCCACTGCGACCACTTACACTTAAAAAAATTACAAGAAATAATACCTAGCTTGTAAAAGATGCTAGGAATACCAGCTTATCATAAGATATCCATTCGTTCCAAAACCTATTGAATAATTTTGCGTTCACTTTGATATATATTATATAAAATATTAAAATATTATTAGTGAATGTATTTTTAAAAAAATGTAAAACTTATTTTTTGTCAAATGTATTTATCTATTGTTTTTCCCACAATCCCATAATATAAACTGTTCAAGCATAAAAATATAATATTTGGGATGAAAAGAAATTCTCAATAAAGTGGAAAAAGCTTTGAACTGTATTTAATATTCTCCCCAAATTTTTCAAAATAATTTGACACCCTCATTTTCGCTATGTGTATTTGCCATCAGTCAGTTCTCCGGCATTGGCTTACTGAAACTGCACCACGACCCAACCCCCGCCCCCTGCTCCCCTCACCCGTTTGCCCCACTCCGACGTAATTATGCAAATTAACTCTTTTTCGGGGCCTTTGCTCAGCGGGTCTGCCTACCTGGTCAACCCCCCTCCCCCTTCCCACCCCTACCCTTCCTCTTCATCTTGTTGGCACCTATGTATGTATAATTCCGCCTTATGTAAAATGTCAGTTCAAGTTTAGGCCTTTGCGAGTGTGTGAGTTTTGGGGAGTGCAATTTGTTGTTTAGGCGGCAACTAATTTTTGTTCAGCGCTCTTTGTTCGTGCGCACTCAATATGACAGACTTCCTAGGCCCCGCAGATCTCGGATGCCCCACGGAGCCATGGAGCCATGGAGCTTTGGAGTTACGGAGTTACGCATCGGCACTTAATAACCCCTGTTCTGCTGATGCGACTTTACTGGCTAGTTCCGGCAGATGCCTCGAAGCAATCCCACCTAACAAATGAGCCTTGGGATACCAAGAAATGTTTATTTAATACCTTTTAGGTATTTAACGATTGGCTCAAGGTATAAATAAATAGTATGAAGTATATTTATTTTGATTAATGTTTAAAATTTAAATATAGAAAAAGTAGTAAACGGTCACCCGATAACCCGACTTTTAAGAAATAATATTAATAAGACTCGGTTTATTGAGTGCAATAGATTTATTTTTATAGGGAAGCAAACATCTAAAACTGTACGGATCATCTGTCAATGTATCTATAATATTCCGTTTAAAATATCAGGTTTTGAGTTCAGTGGTAAAATTTAACTCCTTTAACTGGCATATT